CCACCACTCACGCGGACCAAGCCGGAGGCAAATCCCGAGAGCGTGATGTCAGTCTTGGCGGGCTTGATGTCCGTGCTGCCATACCGAAATCGGCAGATGTGTGCCAGGCAATGGCGGTAGGTGCCGAAAGACACGGACGAGACCAGGGACACGGTGCACACGGGCAGCGAGAGGCCTCTGTAGAAGCCCCACACCTGGAGAGCAGGCAGACAGGACCAGGGGGCCCAAATCAGGCTGGGGGCCCGGCCAGGAAGAGGGCCGTCCAGAGGGGCCCTGGGCCAACGGGACTGGGTCTCACCCCTGCTCTGCCCTCCCTTGCCGTGGGAACCTCAGGCCAGTCTCTTACTGCCTAGGGCCTCGGTTTCCCCAGCTATAAACTGGGGATCGTAATACCCCACTTTCGAGGTTATGTGAGGGACTGAAGAGACAGAGGGCTAGGCTGGACTAGGGCAGCTACTTGATGACGGTGACGATGGTGATGATGCGGGATGGCATGCTTCATTTGTTCACCCCCGGGCCAGCGTCGAGCCCCAAGTTCACGTGAGTCCCTCCTCTGGACCAGGCTCTGAGCTGGACGCTGGGGACACCTAATGACCACCCGGTGCCACTTTCAAGGGATGCCCAGCCTGGAGGGGACAGAAATGCAAACACTCCGGGGTCCCTCCCTGACCCTCAAAGGCCCCAGGTGCCACCTGTGGACCCTCTCCTGAAGGCAGGACCTCCTTCTGAGCACCTCCTGTGTGCTGGACGCCTGACTCTCGTCCTCAGAGAAACCCAGCAGGTTGGTACAATCATCCCCATTTGGAAGGTGACAGAGCTCAGAATGGGGTTCAGCATCCCCTGGCTGGTGGGGGTCTGAGGCCCTGACGTCCCCCTGCCCATTACCCTGGCCCCAGGCCTACCCGCTCTCGGCGATACGTGTCCCAGACGCAGTGCCAGATGCCCCTGTACTTGGGCTCTGTCTGGATCTTGACCTGAGAGAGAAGCAGGCTTCAGGAAGAGGTGGCTCCAGGCCTAGCACAAGGTCAGTAAGCCTGGGAGAGGGGAAGAGCCAACCCCTTGATCGTCAGAGCCGTGCTGAATGTGGGCAGAGCGGGGACCAGGAGCCCCCACGTGAGACAGGAGACCTAAGGCACAGGTGAGACGAGGGGCTGACGCGGTCCTGAGGGGCATGGGGAGGGCTGGTCTGATTAGCATGCCAGAAAGTTCTTCTGGCCACGGATGGAAGCAGGAGACTTGGAGGGTAGCCTAATCCCAGCCAAGGGCCTTTGGGTGGGTGGCGGGGGCCTGGCTGTCACCATACCTTCACCGTGTCCAGGGGGTAGCCCACAGCAACACCGCAGACTCCTGGAAGGAAACCAGACGAACCGGGTGAGGGGCAGGAGCAGGTGAGGAGGGGGGCGAACCCTGACCGGCTCCCGCCGAGAGCAGCCCCACGCTTCTCGTCCACGCCGTGTCTCATCAACGTTGATATCGGTGTTGACACAGAGAAGGAAACTGAGGCTCCGGAAGGTAAGGTCGCTTCTGCCAAGCTGCTAGCAACTTCTCCTTCCATGTCTTGGCCCAGGGGTGCCTCGTTCCGAAAGCCCGAGACGCTCCACGGCCTCGCCCCCGGCGTCACGTTTTGGAAGAGGCTTTGCTCTGACACTGGCTGGGCCCCGTCTCCCAGCCAGGCAGCTCTTGCCCTCAGGCCTGTGAGGGGTTTGTCTGCCTTTGGCTGCAGGGTGTGTGTGTGGAGAGGCAAGGACCCAGCAAAGGCCGGCAGGTGGGAAAGCCCACGTCACCCAGGGCTCTGTGAAGGACCGCCTGGAACCACAAGTCTGCATGGAACAGAGTGGGACGTGAGGCTTCCTAGACCAGGGTGCTCTCTCCGCAAAGGGCCAGTGCCACTATCCTGTTCCTTTCTCCCTTCCTGACAGCAGACCTCAATGTCTAAGCCCCCAGAACCACCATGGAGAAGCCAGAGAGCCACAGACCCCTGGGGTTACACACCCTGGGGGCCAGGGGTGGCCTGGTGGTGAGAGCATCTGAGGACAATAAGGCACCTGGGGGCTGTGCCCTATTTACTAGGCATCCCAGGACTCAATAAATGTGCGTGAATGAAAGAACAAAGTGAATGAATGAATGAATGAATGAGTGAATGAACAAAGCAAGTGAAGCAAAGGACTGACTGAATGACTTGATTAGAATTACCCTCCTTGACCCTCACACAACTAGACCTCACCAAACTCCTAGTCATCCATCAAAGCCCTGCCACAGCATGACCTCCCGCCTGGGGCCCTCCCTGACCCCTGTATCTGGCCTGCTTTCGGGCCGGAAACCACGTTGATCAGAGCCCCTGTCACGTGGTTTTGCTGCCGCTTCACACACATCATGTCTGTCCTCCACAAGGCCCTCGTCTGACCTGGCCTGGAGGGAAAACACAGGACTCGGGAGCCCTTCCTGGCTTTGTGATCTTGGGCAAGTCAAGCCCCTTCTCTGAGCCTCCTCCTTAGAGGGCCAACATCCAGGGAAGCAGCCGGCCTCAGGCCCGGCGCACGGTAGGACCTCAGAAAGGTGGCTGGTGAGGTCAGGGCTCCAGTCTTTCCTGGATCGGCACTGCTGTCCCCTCCTGACGGGAGAACAGCCCACACCGTTCCCAGCAGCATCGACCAGCACCCACGGCTGTTTCCCAAGACGAGCAAGGCCAAGGGTGCCTCACCCAAAATAGCCTCACAGCTTGCAGGACCAGCGGCCGGGGGGGAAAGCCCCTTCCCAGCCTGTCTCCTAACAAGCCGGTTATCTCTCGGGATTAGTCTTTCGCAATCAGCCCTTTCCCCAGAAAGGAAAATAGTTTGGGAACCCAGCAAGGCCGGGACAACATGCATCCCGCCAGCGGGTGGGGCCAGGGCTCGGCGGGGCCTCTCCCCCTCCACACCACCCCCAGTTTCCAGACCCAGGCCAGTTTGTCCTCAAACTCCTCCCCGACCTCCGGTCCCTTCCCACAGCTCAGCCATCCCTCCCCACACTGATGTCCCCCTGGCACAGGGAGAGACCACCTCCTGCCCCCCCACCCCCACCGGGTGTCCCCACCCCCAGACCTGCCGGTCCGCCTCCCAGGCTGAGACAGCCAGGCCAGAACAGACTCCTGTCCCCACACCTCCCCCCCGGCACCTGCGGCCCACGCCGGGCCCTGACCCCTTCCGGGGGCCCCTCAAGCCCCACTGCTGTGGGAAGCCTGCTCTCAGGCCACAGGACGTCGCAGCCCCTCCTGGTACCCCTGTCCCTGCCCGTTACCTCCGATGGCTCCAGCGACAAAATCCATGGACAGTGTGGTGGTGTGGCGGGGAGGTCCTGGGGTCTGTCTGCCTGCCAGCGGTCCGCACCACCACTGGGGTGGCCCCAAGAGCAACTGGGCCGGCTCCTCGCGGACCTTAAATACCTGCGGCCGGGGGAGGGACAGGAAACAAGAGCCCGCTGACCAGTGGCCCCGAAGGCAGAGGCCATGCGGGTCGATGCCCATACCCAGGCGCCGGGGAGCTGGCCTCTCTCCCGCCCCACCCCCTGAAGGACCCTTGTCCCAGTGCCCTCAGGACCCAGGTGTCAGGGAAACATGGGAGAGGCCACAGGAGGTGGCAGGCTCACTTCCACGCTGCCTGCAGGGCTGGGCCCCAGGCCACGTCCAGTCACCCCCAAGGAGGTCCAGGGATGGGGCTATGTTGACCCTGTCCCTTCATGGTGTCCTCGGGCCTCCCCAGCTCCCCTGGAATTGCTCCTGCCCAGGAGCCTTCCAAGTTCCGTCCTCACTCGTTCAACAAACACCACCGGAGCTGAGGCTGATAAGACCCGGTCCCCGTCCTCACGCAGCTCCGGCTGGCAGGAGGGGGTGGGGGCGGGCACAGGCGGGCTGCAGGGCTGTCCCCGCTCCGGGAGCAAAGGCGGGTCACAGCCCAGCATCTGCCCCACGCGTTTCTCACTGCCCTGGTCCCTCACTGTCCCTGTGCACCCACATCTGTCTCCCGCTCCCCCGGGCCCGGCCAGATCTGCCTCCACGCGGTCCCCAGCGCCCAGCACTGACTGAGTGGGGACCAAGCCCTGACGGACCCACTGCTAGGGACCAGGGTGCTGCCCGGCCTCTAACTAAGCCAGAAGGGGAAGAACTTTCCTGAAGGGGAAGCCACTCCAACAAGAGGTTGTTTGCAACCATTATAAAAACAGTGACCGCCCCCCAGCAGCGTACCCCTCTTTACGGTTTCCCAAGCACTCCTCCTCTGCCAGCTCACACGATCCTCATCACAGCCCCAGGAGGGAAGCAGGGCCGATGGTCCCCATTGTACAGATGGAGCCATCGAGGCCCAGAAGGGAGATCCGTCCAAGGCTAAGCAAGTGGCAGGGCTGGATGTGATGGAACACTCTGGAAATACCAGTGCCTCTCGGATGCCGAGGGCCAGGCCCTGAGGCCCATGAGCTCTGCCCCCGTGGCTGTCACCCCACGGGCCCTCCCAGGGGCTCAGCATGTGCTCCCACACGAGCCACAGGGCAGCGCTTCGAGGTGGCTACACACTTGCCCAGGGTCACACAAAGCGAGTGTCCCGCTGACCAGAAACCTGGCAGGACCCGGGTAGAGGGGCAGGTGGTGATGTCACAGGGTTTGGACAGACTGGTCCAGGTGGCCCTCAGGTCAGGGACTGTGTGTCTACCTGTCTTCTTGTCTTCTGATGGGCAGATGCAGACCAGACTTGAACAGGCTGGGTGCGACGGGGCCACATCCCCGCCTGCCCAGCTATTGCAGGGTGAAGGGGGAACGGGTTGGTGGTGGCAGCTACCAAGGCAGAGGGCAAAGGGCAGAATGCAGCCCGTCCCAGGTCAATCCTGCCACCCATCCTGGCCTTTAGAGAGACACAGCTCAGAGTCTGCTTAGCGGCCAGGCTGTTTGCATTCAAATCCCAGTTCCGAGGCCACAGCAATAACCACACAGACAAAAGTCCCCGCCCCGTGGCTCTTACATTCTGGGGAGCGGGGAACAGACAACCCAGAGGTGAGGAAACTGCCAAACAGCGGGGAGTGCCAAGGACAGGGGCAGAGTAGGGAGGGGACAAGGTGTGTGTACGTGGGGGTGGGCAGCATTGGGAAGGGCCGCCCAAGACGGTGACATACAAGACAAAGGTGTTTTCTCAGTCGCTGCAGCCAAGTTTCACCTGCCCTTTGTCTCCCGAGCAAACATGCCCAAACTTTACCCTCTCCACAGCAGAAACAGAAAACATGCCACCTCACTGTTTAGGCTGGTTTGGGACAGGTCTAAAGGTTCTCCACCCAGCTGCGAGCTTCTGGCAGGCAGGGCTGTGTCAGATTTGTCTCTGAGCCCACAGCACCCAGCAGAGGACAGGCACCCTGGGGAGGCCGGGTGAGTAAATGCATGAGGAAACAAGTCAGTGGATGGATGGGTGGGTGGGTAGATGGATGGACAGCTGGAAATACGGATGGGCAGATCAAAGGATGGGTGGATGGATGGTTGGGTGG